CTCTCTCAAATAAATAAATAAAATCTTTAAAAAAAAAAACCAAAAAACAGAAATATTAAATTCTATACTTTTATTCTACATAACTCATTAGCAGATAAAATTAATATTCTGAAGTATGAAAAACTGAAAATAAAAAAAATTTTAGATGAGTTTTAAAAGCACATCAATTATTTCATCATTGAGACATTAAGTATATTTTTATGCAATCTTTTTCTCCCAGCTACTAAAGAGACTTCTCAACTCTTAAGCAATAGGCAGACAAAGTTCTAGGCTTAACTCTAAATATTATCCTCTGATTCCTACATTTTCATAGCTGTCGCCTGTTTGATCACTTTCTGGAATGATTTTGAACACCTTTCTATTTAAGCAGTGGTAATATTTACTGATAATAAGCTGCAGTTTCTGTGCCTCCCAACACGGAGTGTGCCTTGCTTTGTCTTTCTGCAAAAAATGGATAACTAAATTAATGATCTGATCTCAAACCAGAAGTAATTCAGATTTCTGCTGTTTGTTTGAAACAGCATGATGTCCTGAAGTAGAAACACCAGACAGGCTACTCCTGTCTCTGTCGTCATTCTCCTCCAGCCTACTTTGATGCTCCTTCCTTAGTCCCACTGGTAAGGAATCCTTTACCCTGCACTTCTCTCTCTACAATGTATTCTCTTTGACGAAGGAACACTTCTATGTTGATGACCATTAAGTCTCTAACATTATTCTCAACCTTTCACTTACTTTCCAATAGCCTTCAGAGACCTGCCATTTACACTCTTGCCCACATCAAATATATTTTCCTGACCTTAACTCTGCCCACACATAACAACAGTAAAACTGATGGCTCAAGGGAGACTTCAGACAGACCCCCTATAAATGTAATGTATGATAATGAAGGTATCGCAAATCAATGGGGAAGTGAAGAATTATTCACAAGTATTGAATTAAATAAAAAGCTATTTGGGACAAAATACAACTGCTCTCTTCACTTTAGGGCAAAATAAATTACATGTGGGTTAAAGAATTAAATACTTTTTAAAAATTGGCTAAAGGTAAACTGAAAGTGCATATTTCTCAAATCACTGGAGGATAGAGGACTCTAAGCTTAGAAGATAGAAAAAGATTAGCACAGTTGCACTAAATGAAAATAAAAATTTTTATAGTTAAAAACAAAAAAGTCAGCTAAATTATGGCACAGCACAGTGACACAGTCCAATTTTGTAGTATGTTCTTAATACATTAAAAAAACAGAGGACATTTCAATAGCTGCAGAAAAAGCATTTGTCAAAGTACAACATCCACTCATGATAAAAACCTTCAACATAGTACGTTTAGAAGGACCATACCTCAACATAATCAAGTCCATATATGAAAAACCCAGAGCTAACATCATCCTCAATGGGGAAAAACAGAGCTTTTCCTCTAGGGTCAGGAACAAGACAGGATGTTCACTCTCACCACTTTTACTCAACGTAAGTCCTAGCCACAGCAGTCAGACAACAAAAAGAAATAAAAGGCATCCAAATTGGCAAGGAAGAAGTAAAATTTTCATTATCTGCAGATGACATGATACTATATATAGAAAACGCAAAAGACTCCACCAAAAAACTGCTAGAACTGAAAAATGAATTCAGTAAAGTCACAGAGAACAAAACCAATGTACAGTAATCTGTTGCATTTCTACACACCAATAATGAAACAATGTACAGTACAAACAAAATCAATGTAATCTGTTGCATTTCTACACACCAATAATGAAGCAGCAGAAAGAGAAATTAAGGAATCATTAGGAAGAGAAATTAAGGAGTCAATTCCATTTACAACTATACCAAAAACTGTAAGATACATAGGAATAAACTTAACCAAAGAGGTGAAAGACCTGTACTCTGAAAACTATAAAAAACACTGATGAAAGGAACTGAAGATGACACAAAGAAATGGAAAGATATTCCATTCTCATGGATTGGAAGAACAAATATTGTTAAAATACCTATACCACCCAAAGCAATCTACACATTTAATGCAATTCCTATCAAAATACCAACAGCATTTTTTCTCACCGAGCTAGAACAAACAATCTTAAATTTGTATGGAACCACAAATGACCTGGAATAGCCAAAGCAACCTTGAAAAAGCAAAGCAAAGCTGGAGGCATCACAATTTGGGACTTCAAGTTATATTACAAAGCTGTAATGATCAAATCAGTATGGTACTGGCACAAAAACAGACACATAGATCAATGGAACAGAACAGAAAACCCAGAAATGAACCCACAACAATATGGTCAATTAATCTTCGAAAAAGCAGGAAAGAATAGCTAATAGGAAAAAGACCGTCTCTTCAACAAATGGTATTGAGAAAACCAGACAGTAACATGCAAAAGAATGGAACTGGACTACTTTCTTATACCACATACAAAAATAAATTCAAAATGGATTAAAGACCTAAATGTGAGACCTGAACCATAAAAATCCCAGAAGAGAACATTGGCAGTAACCTCTCTGACATCGGCTGTAGCAACTTCTTCTTAGATATGGCTCCTGAGGCAAGGTAAACAAAAGCAACAATAAACTATTGGGATTCCTTCGAGATAAAAATCTTCTGCACAATGAAGGAAACAATTAACAAAACTAAAAGGCAACCTATGGAATGGGAGAAAATATTTGCAAATGATAAATCTGATAAATGGTTAGTATTTGAAATACATAAAGAACTTAGAAAACTCAACACCCAAAAAACAATCCAATTAAAACATGAGAAGACATGAGTCGACATTTTCCACAGAAGACATTAACAGATGGCCAACAGAAACACAGAAAGGTGCTCAACTTCACTGATCATCAGGGAAATGCAAATCAAAACTATAATGAGATATCACCTCACACCTGTTAGAATAAAAAACTCAAGAAACAACAAGTATTGGTGAGGATGTGGAGAAAAAGGAACCTTCATGCACTACTGGTGGGAATGCAAACTGGCGCAGCCACTGTGGAAAACAGTATGGAGGTCGTGCAAAAAGTTAAAAATAGAACTACCCTATGATCTAGCAATTGCACTACTACTGGGTATTTGCCCAAAGAATACAAGAATATTAATTCAAAGGAATACGTGCACTCTGATGTTTACAGCAGCATTACTTAACAACAGCCGAATTATGGAAACAGCCCAAGTGTCCATGGATTGATCAATGGATAAAGAAGTTGTGGTGTGTGTATACACACACACACACACACACACAGGAATATTACTCAGCTATAAAAAAAGGATGAAATCTTGCCACTGGCAATGACACGGATGGAGCTAGAGAGAATAATGCTAAGCAAAATAAGTCAGCCAGAGAAAGACGAATACCATGTGATTTCACTCATATGTGGGATTTAGGAAACAAAGTAACTGAGCAATGGGGAAAAGAAAAAAGAGAGGAAAACCAAGAAACAGACTCTTAACTACAGAGAACAAACTGATGGTTACCAGGTGGGGGGATGGATGAAATAGGTGATGGGGATTAAGGAGTGAGTGCACCTGTTGTGATGAGCACTGGGTGATGTGTGGAAGTGTTAAATCACTATATTGTACACCTGAAACTAATATTACACTGTACGTTAACTAAATGGAATTTAAATAAAAACTTTAAAAAAAAAAAGGAAACATGAGATATACAACCATCCCCTTAAATTATTTTCAAAGACACTCATCACAGTTGTTAATTTTTAAAATATAGAAAACATGGGAAACAACACACAGTGTCTGGCAAAAGAGAAATGGCTTAGTATATTATCCCTTTTGATGATGAACTAAAAATCACCAAGAACAAAAAGTAAGAAAATATTACCATGTTTTTAAAAAAAGAAAGACCCAGAAATGGAAAAGGACTAGAAAAACATACTGAATTCAGAATTTTATCAGTAACTTGAGTGGTAAGAGACAATGAAGTTTTTGTTTTGTTCCTTTCTTCATTCCAATTTCTTTTTACTTCAAAAAAACTGAATCTCACATCACATAAAAACAACTGGAAATGTAAAGAAGTAGATTGAAAGAAATATCTACCCGCTTATCATCATCTTGCTTGTGTTTTCTGGTTTTCTGAAGCAATTTCAGGCCTTCAATTTGTCTGACGAGTAGCGGTATGGTCATCTTGAACCGTTCCTCTAGACTCACCGCATCTAAAATCTAAGGGAACATGAGTCAGTTAGTAGACTCTCTCAGAAACACATGCTCCCAAAACAAGGCAGTCAGGTCATGACTTAAATTGTTAAGTAAAAAAGACATCAATATTCACAACTATGTTATGGACAATACAACCAGATTAACTATATTAAATCACTAGAATACTAAAAAAGAAAAAAAGCATCTTGACTTCTCATTTAAAAATGAAGCCATGTGTATTGTTCCAAAAGCAAGAACAAAACACACGTTTAATGTCAACTCTTTCTGTGAATTATTCTCTTAAAACACAGAATGTGTCTACATATTAGGACTAAACAAATTCTAGGTTCAAAATATTAAATTTTTACGTTCATGAAAGAGTAGGAGCACTTTTAACCAACCACCACTAGTGATCAGAGTAACTAATGCTCTCCATTCTCTCAAACCTCCCTGCTGATGCCCACAGCCAGCTTACCCTCTGGTACTCCTGCACTCTTCTGCGCCTACCAGTTGAGCTGCATTCTTGTGTTTAGAGTAAGGTGTTTATACACCTTTCTGTTAGGTGCACTTGCTATTATAATTTGTTAGATTTGCTACACAGTTGCTAAGACATAACTGTAATAAAAGTATTAAATAAACTGATAAAATGAAGGTTTCAATGAAAACTAACTTACATGTTCTAGGAAGATTCAATAAAGCAGACTGCTTAAAAACACTATAAAAATTTGTATGCAAGAAAACTTACAGTTTGGGAAAAAACATGCAAATCTAAGATTCTGCATTTTTCAGTGTCTTTACAACTCATTTCACTTTACAGAAATAGAAACTGAAAATCATAGATAATGCATCATAGGTATGCTTTATGTAAGAAACATCATGAAGAATTCTAATAAAGCAGGCCATACACAAAGAAAAGGTCACAGCTCCACATGTTTAAAAAATAGACAAAATATATTTATTTTTTAAGTTAAATACTTATTTTAAAATTATTCCGCACTTTAACTTTTTCCATAAATTGACAAACTACTAGTACTGATAATGTGAATAAAAGAGCTGCCTGGGGGCGCCTGGGTGGCTCAGTTGGTTAAGCGACTGCCTTCGGCTCGGGTCATGATCCTGGAGTCCCGGGATCGAGTCCCACATTGGGCTCCCTGCTCAGCAGGGGGTCTGCTTCTCCCTCTGACCCTCCTCCCTCTCATGCTCTCTGTCTCTCATTCTCTCTCTCTCTCAAATAAATAAATAAAATCTTAAAAAAAAAAAAAAGAAATAAATACTTAAAAAAAAAAAAAAGAGCTGCCTGAACATACAAAAATGTAAAGCAATCACTTCTAATAGTCAATTTCAGCGTAAGAGCATTTTAACTACTTTTATGCATCTCTAGTATCTCTTACTGAAGGTCAAAATTTATTATTTTGAATAAAAACTGACAAAACAACTCAGTATTTAAGAAGGGAATACTGTACCTGGAGCTTCTCTTTGTTGCTTGTTCGGATAATTGAAGTCAGAATGTCTGGTAAAGCTTCTCTTGGAAGACTATCTAAAAGGCGTCTCAATTTAGCAACTGCAGGGACAGACATATCTAACATTTCAACCAACTGCAAGGATAAAGAAGTCTTTTTAATGAAATCTGGCACTATTTGTGAATTCAAAAAAGACTGCTATATAGGTTTAATGTTTGGGCCTCAGAGTCTTTGTTTCTGAAAGATCACTGATTACTATAGTCCAGGCATTTTACACGTCCCAGAAGAAAATAGAAATACATTCAAAATATCAATCAGAATTGAAAGGCAAAAGTGGCTCAAATGTGGATAATATGAATGTTTAAAAGGCTCTGTAAATTTATGATTTTATTTTGAAAAAAATTAAAATTTATGGAAAAGTTGCAATAGTACAATAAACTCCTATCCTTCCCCTAAATTCACCAATTATTAACATTCTGCCACATGTGGTTTTTCTCTCTAAGCATGTGTGCGCACACACACCCACACAGTTGCTGCTGAACATTTTAGAGTAAGTGGCAGATATCATGACCCTTGTTCTTAAGAACAAAGGTATTCTCTTACATAATCACAGTGTAATTACCAAATTCTGAAAATTTAATAGAGTCGATGCTACTATGCTAACCAATGAGTAGCTGAAATACTGTTTTTTAGTAAAACATTTGGATTAACGAGAATCTGAGCACTGACTGTGAATGATTTTTATAAAAACAACCAGGATATATCTTGGAGTTAAGACACATTAAGTTCAAAGCAAGCTTTCAGTAACTATGATAATCATTGGGGTTGTTGACAAAAGTTCTCCTCTTCTTCTGGGCACATGGCAGGACTGCTCTTTCTCACCTCCTCTGAATACAAAATGGGGCTATGATTCTTGCCTTGATCCATGAAACATGAGGGGAAGCGACAGTTCCTTCTGGGCAGAAGCATTAAAAACCATTGATATTTGCCACATTTACTTTTCCAGTCTCAGCAATAATGAATACATGTTTTGAGATGAATCTCTAATCTTCTTGTCCCTAAGTGACTCTAACAGGTAGATCAGCACACTCTCTAGTTTTAGGCATAAAGCATGAATGAGAAATGTATGCTGAGATTCTGGGAGTACTTAAAACAGCAAAGCTTAGCCCATACTGACTAATTCACAAATGATGTGCCTCATTTAGTCACTCTAAAAAGATTTCTGATGCCAGTATAATCAAGCCTCTCTGAAGGCACTGTAATTTAGGAATCTATCCATTGCCTGCCTAGAGTCAAGGGAATGAAAGCGCAGTCATGATGAAGCTATTCCAGGTGGGAGAAGTAGATAATAAAATTTAGAGACTCTTTCTCCTAAGAATTCATCCTAAGAAAATAAAACAGTTAAAACTTGTTCTCCAAGCACTTACTGAGCACAAACTACTTGACAGACAAAACATACTGCTCAGCAGGGGATGGCTAAAGCAGGGATGAATTCAAGTTTGGTAGAGGAAACAGACCTATAAGGTAAATTTCAATACAATGGGATAAGCATCATATTAAAAGGGATGCATAAAGGACTGTGGAAGCACAGGAAAAGGAGCACAGGATTACCTTTTTTAGCCTTCTGTCTTGTCACCAACCATTCCCACTTGGTGGCAGTGTACTTGGAAAAAAGGCCACATGATCTTTCTGGCTCCACTCAATGTCTAAGGATACCTTGCTTCCTTTGCCTGCATCCCACTATTTCCCTCATCCCATCTACTGCAGCAAATCTCTCCTTAGTTGATGAGATTGTGTTTATCTCCTTGTAAGCCCTACCTATCCTGAATGGTCTGTCATTGTCTGCCTTTAAAATCCTTCCTCTTCCCCTCTTTAAATAATGATGGGGCTAAGTGATACCCAAAGCTCACCCCCAGACTATTTCCTCAGTACCTTGCAAAAAACACCAAACAAAAATACCATTTTAAAAGAGATGTATTGACGAACCATGAGAGACGATGGACTCTGAAAAACAAACTGAGGGTTCTAGAGGGGAGGGGGGTGGGAGGATGGGTTAGCCTGGTGATGGGTATTGAGGAGGGCACGTTCTGCATGGAGCACTGGGTGTTATGCACAAACAGTGAATCATGGAACACTACATCAAAAACTAATGATGTAATGTATGGTGATTAACATAACAACAAAAAATTTTAAAAAATAAATAAAAGGTGTATTTTTTTTTCTTTTAGAATGTAAACTCCTCAAGAGCAGGGACAATGTTTTCTGTATGTTCTATTGTGCCTAATACACTGTAAATGCTCAATAAATATTGATGATGAAAAAAAAAAGAGCCAACAGGAGTTGGGAAAGCATCAGTCTGAAAACTGAGAGAAGGAAGAACACTCCCAGCAGAAAGAACAGGAGGGACAAAATCACAGGGACATGAAACAACAAGATGTGAAGCTCTCTGACGGACAACGTGACTAAAATGATGGGTATAAATGGATTAAGTAGAGTTGGGAAGGGCCTTAATGTTATTCTAAGAAAGTTTAACTTTATCCTATCACCATTAAAGTCTTTTTCTCAGGGGAGAGGCAGGCCCAAAACTTCCTTAGAAAGGCTCCGTGAACAGGATGAGTCAGAGAGAAAAGAAACCAGAAAGAGATTAGTCAGGAAGCTACTGAAGAAGTCAACTGATGAGGGCTATGTAAGGAAATGATAGAAAAGTATTAACTGGAAACAACCTCAATGTCTAAAAAGAAGAAAGATAAAATTATGGTATCTCAATTCAATGAAATTTATAAAAATACTTAATATGAAAAGTAGACATGAACAGGAAAATAAAACTAAGACTTAATTGGACTGAGATCAGAAGACAAGGCAAAAGTTAAACTAAATGCATGGTAGCAGTGAAATTATGGAGATGTTTCGCTCTAAAGATTCCTTTCATGTCATAACAATTCTTCACGTTTAAAATTTCTCTTTTGATTTAAAGTGGGGAGAAGTTAAAAAGCCAAGTGCAATCTCTATGAAGCTGTGTCCAATAGAAGAACTAAGACCCAGGGAGTAGTATTACCCAGGAAAAAGAGAAAATTCGGATTCTCCATCTCCTTCTTCTTCCAGTTCTCAAAATGAAGTGTCTCTGTTCAGAGTAGGTTCTTCCTTTTAGTCCCCACAGAAGTTAGAGCTCTAAGTTTTCTATTTTCCTATTGTTTACCACACTGGGAGTGTGTTGCTTCGAATGCCACAGCAGGTACAGATACCACAGGCTGTGAACACTTGCCTTACGCTTTGCAATGATCGAGACCTTCAGACACTGCCTGATCCTCACAGACCTAGTTACAGTCACTGGACTGCATCAACAGAAAGTAGGAGACTACATTTTACAATGTATTTCAATAAGGTTTCAAACAAAACAGGGTGAAGGGAGGAGCTTTCTAGTCAATCTCGAGTTAAAAAAACTCAAACCTAGAATTAAAAAGTCCAATATTTAATGCATGCCTCACATGTGCTTCCCTCCCAGCATTCTAGGCTTTAATCAAGGCTTTAATCATCTTTGAAATCAGTCTACCATAGACCTAACCTTTCAAAGTTACTGCCAGTCTCAGTGTGACCTTGACTTCTGAAACAACATAACTTATGTAATTTGCTACCTAGATGACTCTTGTGCCATATAGCTTTTGTGCAATATTTTAATTTTTAACATTATTTAGGTTTAATAACTGTCTGGTTTGGAGACACTGGAAGTTATAAGGAAAGCTCTAGAAAGACTCTTTGGAAAAATTTTAGAAAGAGCTGGCTCATTTTTCCTAGAATGACTTAGGTACAATCTTAAACAAAAGCAAAGTGAAATCAATATATCACTAAGTCATTTAAACATATGCTGCCTTAAAACTTCACCACTCAACAGATTCATATCTTAGGGCAGCAAAGGAACTGAAGAAAATGGGGTTTTAAGGAAAAAAATAAAAGCAACTCACTTGTACTGCATATTTGTAAAACTGTTCTGATAGTTCTCCTAGCTCCTCCCTAGTTTTACAGGTGTTGGGAAATTCCTCAAGCCGGTCCAACTGTTCCACTTCAGCAACGGGATATGGCTTCTCTTTTAAGACCTGTACAATCTGGAAACGGCACAGGCCTGTAATCAGCAAAGTATAGTGAGGCTTGGGCCAGTTACTGCCTACAACCTGAACCGCCAGGGCAGCCGTCCCAATCCTGAAAAACACACAAAACATCAGTGTTAGAAATGTTCAGTGTGGTAGAACAGAAACTTGCCTCAACAGGTGTTGCCTTTTCTGAGGAATTCTTTAAAAAACAAATAACATCTAAAGTGGAAATGATTTCTCTAATTTAGAATCTAGCAATGGTCTGTGAAGTCACCACCACCAGTAAGGGGGCAAAGCAGGCCATCTCATTCTAATTATTATCTCCTTTAAGATCAGGTAGAAATACCTAAAAATAAATACGTAGAAGTACTTGACAATTACATAGCTTAAATTCATTTTGCTAGGAATGAGGCAATATTATGCTAGAACAAATATTAGCACTTTAAACAGATGGAAATATAAACAGCATTAATGTTAAACCAATCTAAGAAATCTCTGTCCCAATGACCAGGTTTGCTACCAACATCAAGCCAGGTTTTTCACACAATCAATCCCCAAAACTTCCACATATCTGCCTTCTCACAAACTGTCATCATATCTGAGAGTTAGTATCTATGTCCGTGAATATGAAATTTCTAAATGCGGGGGACTAAATATCAGAGGCTACACACTGTCATGACTGAAGGTATAAACTTAGTTCTGTCCTAAGTGATAAACGTCCCACCTAATACTAACTAAAAAAGTTGTTTTATTTCAGTCTTAGCTCCTTAACAGAACATACAATTCTGACTAAGTTACATATAAACTTAATTCACAGAAAGGAAGTCTCATCCAAACTAAGCCAAAATTATACAAAATAGCAAGAGCCACATTCAGAAAACACATCTAGATCTCAAACTAAAATTGTATCTTCTCCCTTCAGCTACAGGAAGGGCTGTCATTTCAGAGAAGAAACTGGAATTAAGGCAACTAGAACTCTCAACACCCTGGGGAAATGGTACTCCTGGAAAATCACACTTGCCCATCTCAAACATACTGAATCACACATGAATATAGAATTTGAATATGTCAGGGAATTTGCTTACTTCTATATGCAGTCAAGGCTCGACTATTTCCTTATATTCATTCCACAGATTATGCGGAATCTTTGGCTTTCCTCTGCCATTCAGTTAATTTTGAGCTATGTCCATCTTTCCTTACCACCTTTTCAGTCATATCACATGTACAGGAGATAAAAACTGATTTTTTTTTTAATTATTTATTTATTTATTTATTTATTTGAGACAGAGAGAATGAGAGAGAGAGAGCACATGAGAGGGGGGAGGGTTAGAGAGAGAAGCAAGCTCCTTGCTGAGCAGGGAGCCCGATGCGGGACTCGATCCAGGGACTCCAGGATCATGACCTGAGCCGAAGGCAGTCACTTAACCAACTGAGCCACCCAGGCGCCCGAGATAAAAACTGATTTAAACAATAACTAAAACCAAAGAATCAGGAAGATAATTTGGTGGGGAGAAAAAACATGATACACTTTAAAAACTGAAACGATTTTACAATTCTCTATTATTTTAAGGTATTTGTTTTGTGGCTGCTTTTCTTCAGTCATTAATGGTAGTAGGCTATTATCTCCCATTTCCTGTAAACCAACTCGGATTGCCTGAGAAAGTTAGCAATAGCTGAACTGATTAGAGACCAAGACTACAATTACCCTCAGATGATGCCCATCAATGCTTGCACAATGCAGATCTGTCTACAAGCAACATCAACAGATGACAAACGGGATCCCTGGCCTAAGGGGTTTGCAAACTGGAACCAAGGGGAAACAGAGAGAGAGATGAGGCAAGTCCAAACCTCCAGATTAGGAGATAAATTTTATTATTTGAGCTACGTCATTCATTAAAGGTGAGACTAAAAATGAGTTTTCTTACAAAGCAAGTAAAATACTGTGTTAACTGTGAAACGAAGATGTTCCAAATTGACAAGAGATTAAGTTGGATTTATATTACGCCTCTCCTCCTAATGAGATAAATATATAAAGGTTTTACATTTGTTAATTGGGTCTTACTTTAAATCACTTACAGTTGACTTGAATGTAACCTTTTTAAAGAAAAACATGATTTGTGAAATGATAGATGGCTAGAAAGAGTATCTGGTGAAAGACATTTCGGGTAAAAAGCTCTGTGAAAAAGGACCATGTTTAATGTTATTTTAGCCAAGTTCTACTGTATATTGGGCTCTAGGTTATACATATAAATATAGATAGTAAGTAAACAAAATATACCATTATGGTCAACATTCTGATTTTGCAACAGACCCAAATGTATACAGTAAATGAGAGGTGTTCTTTCCCTTTGGGTAGCAGCTCTGTAAATCTACACCTTAAATACTGTGTATTTTACAGTTCAAAGAATTTTTGAAACTCCTAACTGGGATCTATTTTCAGAGTTGTAAAATATTGTTTTAATCCAAAGTCTGATTACAATGGGTATGACTTATGTACTTTGGAAACTGACTTAGATAATATAAGAGTTCCAAAAATATTTGAGACCTATCAATTGTAGGCGTGGGAAAATCTAAAAGCAGCACTACTACAAAAGGCAGTTTTGGAATATGAGGATATTGGGTAAATATCCAAACTGGCCTATGCCAACCACTTGCTTTTTTTTTTTTTTTTTTTTACTTTAAAGCTCTCCATCTTTCTTGGAATCCTCAATCTTCCAAGTCTTTTTCTGTAATGACACTAGTTCTGCACATATTGAAAGAATCTGGGGCCTTCCCACTCCTCCCCCCAACTTCCATTTGTGAAATTTACATTTTTTTTTTTTTTTAAAGATTTTATTTATTTGACAGAGAGAGACACAGCAAGAGAGGGAACACAAGCAGGGGGAGTGGGGGAGGGAGAAGCAGGCTTCCCGCTGAGCAAGGAACCCGATGCGGGGCTCCATCCCAGGACCCTGGGATCATGACCTGAGCCGAAGGCAGACGCTTAACGACTGAGCCACCCAGGCGCTCCTGAAATTTATATTTAAAAGTACCCATCTGGGGAATAATAATACCTCTAACATATAGGTTTATTGCTCCATAGCCTACAAAAGGCTTTCGTAAGTATTATCTCATCGTATACTACCTTTTACTCCTGTGAGGAAGGTAGCACCATTTCCTTATTATAAATTAGTAACTGAGATTCAAAAAGGGTAAACAGGCTAGTTATCCATGATTACAAAGATATTGCATAGGCAGGCAATAGGGGACCTGAATTAGGTTTTATGACAAATTTTACTTTAACCACCGCAAGAGACAATATCAATTTGTGCCCATAAGAAATATACTTATTCACATAGTTTCTAAATAGCTGAGATACTAGAAAGCACAGCTATTACTTAATATCTACTGTTCACATCTCAATTACACTTAACAAAGAGAAGCATTTCTACCAAAACTCTGGAATCAAGTTACACATCTTTGGAAAAGAACAACTGAAACATCTTTTTAGTGTTGTCTTGTGTCACCCCACTTATCTTTTTGAATTATTTGTTGATTTTTGGCAAAACTCATCATCATGATTAATAATAACTTAGAAACAAGGAGCCTATTGCTCCAAGGTCTATAACAGACAAGGCTTCTGTTGCTATAGGATTTTTGCTTTTCACTCCTTTATTAAAACTTCATTTCTGGGGGTGCCTGGCTGGCTTAGTCAATAGAGCATGCGACTCTTGATCTTGGGGTGGTGAGTTCAAGCCCCACGACAGGCACAGAGATTACTTAAAAAAAAATTTTTTTTTTTAAATTAAAACTTCATTTCTGAATTTAAGAATTGCCACTTGTAGACACTTTCCTTAAAAAGAGTAAATGCAGATTTAGGAAAATCTAAGTAGAGCTATCCATTACATACTTGCTAACATAAAAGATTAAATTTTAAAATGTTAGTACTACTAGTAATATTTCCTGAATGCCTAAGAAGGCTCACGGATAAAAATAGGAGTAATATGGAAAGAGCCAAGATGTCCATCAACAGATGAATGGATAAAGATGTGGTATATATATACAATGGAATATTATGCAGCCATCAAAAAAAAAGAAATCTTGCCATTTGCAACGACATGGATGGAACTAGAGGGTATTATGCTAAGCTGAATAAGTCAATCAGAGAAAGACAAGTATCATATGATCTCACTGATAAGAGGAATTTGAGAAACAAGACAGAGGATCATAGGAGAAGGGAGGAAAAATGAAACAAGACAAAACCAGAGAGGGAGACAAACTATAAGAGACTCTTAATCTCAGGAAACAAACTGAGGGTTGCTGGAGTGGAGGGGAGTGGGAGGGATGGGGTGGCCCGGTGATGGACACTGGGGAGGGTACGTGCTACGGTGAGTGCTGTGAATTGTGTAAGACTGATGAATCACAGACTTATACCTCTGAAACAAATAAAACATTATATTAAAAAAAAAAAAAGGAAGATAGTAGGAAGGGAAAAATGAAGGGGGGGAAATCGGAAGGAGAGAGGAACCATGAGAGACTATGGACTCTCAGAAACAAACTGAGGGTTTTAGAGGGGAGGTGGGTGGGGGGAATGGGTTAGCCCAGTGATGGGTATTAAGGAGGGCATGTATTGAATGAACACTGGGTGTTATATGCAAACAATGAATCATGGAACACTACATCAAAAACTAATGATGTAGGGGGCGCCTGGGTGGCTCAGTCATTAAGTGTCTGCCTTCGGCTCAGGTCATGATCTCGGGGTCCTGGGATCAAGCCGCACGTCGGGCTCCCTGCTCCACGGGAAGCCTGCTTCTCCCTCTCCCACTCCCCCTGCTTGTGTTCCCTCTCTTGCTGTGTCTCTATCAAATAAATAAATAAAAATCTTAAAAAAAAAACTAATGATGTAATGTATGATGACTAACATAATAAATAAAATTAAAAAAAAATTAGGAGTAATGCCTGGACAAAGAGTTGACCCAAATTATGAAACTGGGCATCTGCTATCTATAAAGCATTCATTTCTTGTCAGACAAATGCCAATGAAACTAATTTGGGATCTTGAAGGAAGAAGCCAGAGAAATCCACACTATGCGGAAATGAAGCCATGTATCCTGAAGAACGTAAGGCTGGAAGAAGACTGGATGACCATCCTGAAATGCATGAAAGGACAGTGTTTACATAGTACTAAATTATTATCCATCTTCACTAAAAAAACAATGAGTCACTCAAGTCTAGGTAAGCAGGGTGCCCTGAGGTGGCATAAGAGCCAAGTTCTATGCTGCAGGGATAATCCAAAGCTCCTCCTTTAAAAAGGCTTCCGTGTCAGGTAACATGCCTGCACACTAACTAACATGCAGAAGGGAGCGTGCTGTTCAGGGAACTCAACATCTGGCTTTGCTACTTTTTGTGACAAGGAATACAGGGGAACAAATTACTTCTGCTGCTCCTTCAAGACTGAGGCATTGTCACCTGGATGGTCTAAAGGAAACAAAAGACAGGAGTAGAGCCCCTGGCCTTCCCTTTGGGTACCACCACCATTTGGAAAAGCAGGTAACTGAGGAAGGGCAGATTTATGTATCGAAATAGAGTAATGTTATGGGTAACTCAAGATTTGCATTATCAAAGCTTTTTAAATTTTTAAGAGTGTTTAAATGTCATATTAGAGAAAAAAGACATTTGAAGCTAAGGAATGCAGTACAATCTTTCTACACAGATTTTTCTAGTAGCAAACAATATTTCTAGAATAACCAGATGGTCTGGTGGGTCCTTGCTAGAATTCTATGAAAAACTGTCAATGTATGTTTTCTAACTTACATGATTAAATTTTAACATTGCTATTAATTTAAAACAAAGGCAGTGATATGAACATCAAGGATCAGATTACACATCATCTGAATATTAATGATTACTTCCAAGCAGGAGAATTTAATTATTGATGTTTTGGAGGGATTTACATGAAAGAAATTAAAAAGCATCCAAAATCTTGCCAGGATATACCAACAAAATGACTAAAATATGCCTAAATCTACTTTTGAAATTCACAGTGTACCCATGGGTAATCACCACACACATACACAGAACTAAAACAAACAAAAAAATCTAACCATGAACACTCTTGCCTCAACCAGTGATCAAATGCCTGGGCACAGAAAACAAAAAATTGTGCCATAAGCAGAGGCTTAAGGAGTGGGGTCATTATGTCGGGGAACCAGAATTCAACACAATTTATCAGGGTTTACTGAAACTTGAAAAGTATCCAATTCCATGCAAGCAATAACCAAAGCAGATCAGATGGAAGCCAAAATGCTTTCCATGCCTGAGAAATGCAAGGTTTTTACAATGTGGACTAATAAGAGAGTATTATGGGTTTTTTGTTTTGCTTTGTTTTAGGAAGGGAGGGGAAAGATACCAGTTTCCTTTCTGAATTTGAAGACAGTTATAGACTCTCCTTTTAGAAATGTATATAGTCACGAGATTTTGGGTAAGAATAAGGCATTCCTAACCCTCTCGAAATCATTCAGTCAGGAATCCCTAACTTTAAAAAAGGGTAACTGCAGGTAAACAATGGCTCTAAACTAAAAGCATCTCAGGACGAGTTCAGGATAGGAGGCAGGGGCTAGGGAGGTGAGTCTGAAGATAACGATAGCATTTGTTGAGCATATACTATATCCCAGCATTGTCCAATAGAAATATAATGTGAACCACATATGTAATTTTAGTAGCCACATTAAAAAGTAAAAAGAAACAGGTGAAATACTAGTATTTTATTTAACCCTGAACAGCCAAAATAATACCATTCCAACACTTAATCTATGTAAAAATTATTAATCAGCAAAACATTTTACATACTAAATTTTCAAACTCTAGTGTGTGCTGTATACTTACAGCACGTTTGGGGTGACTAATTGCACTGATTTATCTGGGACTAACGGTGTTTCCTGGGAAACAGGACCTCTACTGCTAAAACTACTTCAATCCTCAGGGAACCGGGGCTGTTGGTCACTCTAGCATCTCAGTTTGGACCAGGCACATGTGGCTAGTGGCTACAGTACTGGACTACTATCTATCAAGCATGGCACAAAGATTATTTCACTTAATTCGTAACGCACCTAAGAAATGGATACTGTTAGGTTTCAATAAGCACAGGGTGTCTCACCCAAAGACACACAACTTGGGCCACGGTGTAGGGCAATCTAGTGGTAAGCTTGGGGCGTAAGAAAAGAAATGTTAAGATATGAAAGAAAGCAGATAGGAGATGAGAAAGTTCCAGAAAGGGAGACAAGGGAATATGTGAATAGGAAGGGAGGGTAAAAGAGAAGGGGCAGGCAGGGAATTTGGAAGATAGGCACCCCCAAAAATAATGAAAAGGGTAGTGCGGATTAGGATGGCACAGGAAAAAGAAAACGTGTGGAGTACCAAGTGTCTCACTTAAGAGGGCAAAAAAGACGGGGAGGAAGGGAATAAAGGATAAGAAAGAGGAGGGGCCTGGAAAGTTAAGAGCACTGGGCTAAGATCGGAAGACGTGGGGGTCGGGGAGGAGAACTTAAATTAACAGCGGCAGCTAACTGCAGAATTTTCATTACTTCATGAGTTATGCCCTTTAACAGTAACAAGACAGATATCCGTCACCCCCATTTCACATGGGAGGTAGCTGAAGAGGCAGACCAGAGCCGCGAAGGCCGTCCGCGAGGAGCCTCGGCGCCCCGAGACCGCGCGTGGCCTGGGCCGGGGTCCGGAGAGGAGGCAGCGCCGCCCGCCGCCGCCGCCACCGCCACGGGGGCCGCCCGGCCTACCTGTGCAGCGGCGGCAGGTCCTGCGCGTCACTGGCGGGGTCGGGCGTATTGGGGATCACCCCCAGGATGGTGCTCTGCAGCGACGTGCCCTTAAGCAGGCGGCTCCGCACCAGCTGCAGGTTGCGAGCCGAGTCTACGCTGGTGCGCATGGTGGAGCCGGGCAGTAGCACGCCCTCGTTGGTGAGCAGCAGCGGGAGGCGTCCGGGGATCTGGATGGGGCTCACCGACGACATGACGACAGCTGTTCGCACTGGGGGGCTGTCAAAGAGGGCAGAGCTCAGAGCTCTGCGCGACCTCGACAACCCCGACCAAAGGTCCCAGCCGCACGCGCCGCACGCCGGCGCGCCGGCGCGCCGCCACTTCCGGCTCCGCGCTACGGCCCGCCCCCGGGCTCAAACCCCGCAGCTTCGCGCTGCCCCCTCCCGGAGCCGCCCGGTAGAGCGCGCGCGTGCCGTAAGTGTACGAGGACAGGCGCACTCCAGCCCCGTGCGATCTTCGTTCTCGGCGAGGCGGGCTCTTCCATTTTCTCCTTAGGCTCAGCCTCAGGACCGTCCCCTGGAGAGAGGATCATGTTTAAATTATATCTACTTGAAATGTTTTTAACTTTTCATTCGAATTGATTTTAGATTTACAAAAATTTTGCAAAAAAATATTCCCACAGTTCAATTATAAAAACCAGAAATTAACATCACTGTTATCTAACCTATAAACCTTGCACAAATTTTGCCAGTTTTCTCACTAATGTCCTTTTTTTCTGACCCAGGATCCCACTTTATATTTAGTTGTGACGTCTCCTCAATACATGTGTGTGTATATGTATATATATATACATATATATGTTTAAATCTGTGAACTTTCAAAGAGCATTGGTCCATTATTTTGTAGAATGTCCCTCAATTTGCTTGGGAACAACATTATACATTTTTGGCAGAAAGACTATACAGAAGAGATATGGCCTTCTTCCTGATACAGGATGGTTGAAATGTATTATTAATGGTGATTTTGACCTTGATTACTTGGTAAAGGAGGTATCTGCCAGGCTTCCCTATTGTGAGTTAAAATATTTCTTTTTATAAGTAATACATATATTGTAGGGAGTTAATATTACATTTATTAATTGGAATTCTGTAAGAAAAAGCTGCACATTTCCCTCATTTATTTACTTACTCAATTTTTTTATGTTATTAAGGGTTCACAGATTTTTTTTTTATGGGTTATAACCCAATAATATCATGTATCTCGTCACTTAAATTGTTTTAGATTTGGCCATTAGGAGCTTCTTCACGTTGGGATTTGACTTGGGTTTGGCTATAGGTTGAAGATGGAAAATTCTTCCTATGAAGTCCAGCAATGCTCTCAGAATCCAAGAGGGAATTGAAAGTCCATTTAAATCAACAGGCATTCACTGAGGGACTGCTAAGTACAAGGTCCTGGGCTAATTGTGGAGGGGTAAAGAGTATAACATAAGACAAGCTCCTACCCTTGTGTATCTCTTGGCCGGAGGGACAGCCCTGTAGACGGCTGAGTCTGATACAGGGGAGGTGGAATTGTGTGTTTCTGTGTGTGCTGCAGATAAGGGACAGGAGAAGGTAGGTATACAAGCAGTTATATAAGGCCGTGGTGGAGACAGAAATGCAGGAACTTGGATGCTCCTGCCTAAAGCTCTTTCTCTAACATTATCCCAACTTTCTTTCATTCACTAAGCAATATATTTGGAATACCTACTATGTGCTGGATATTATTTTAGGTGCTGGGGATATGTCAGTGAACAAGACAGGCAAGGTTACTGCTTTCATGGAGCTGAACTTCTAGTGAGGGAAACAAACAATGAACAAGGAGAGTAATTTTGGGTGGTGGTAAGTCCTTTAGATGGTCAGAGAAGGACTCACTAGACAGATGACATTTGAACAGGGCCCTGTGCATGAAGAGGTAGCAATGCAAAGCTCAGGGCAGGGGTGCCCAGGGGGTGCTGTTCCAGGCCAAAGAAACAACAACTGCAAAGATTTTGTGGCCGGAATGAATTTTGGATATTTGAGAAAACTGCTCCTGGAATTTAGTGCTAGTGGGGCCTGGTGGTTTGGCTGAGATAAGAGAAGTGGCAGGATCAGGTAACAGAGGGCTGTGTATGAGGTAAAAAGATGGAGTAAGGAGTCTAGTAAGAAGTCAGGGTTTTACTCTAAGCCTGATGCAAGCCATTGGCAGTTTCAAGGTGCAGAATATCTTTTCTGGTTTATGTTTTCAAGAGACCATTTTGGCTGCTCTGTGGAGAATGCAATGTAATGATTTAAGGTCAGAAGCTGGGAAGCTAGTTATGAGGTGGTGACATTTGTCCAGGCAAGAGATAATGAGGACTTAGACTGGAAGCTATACGTTTGACTGTAGCTTCAACAGAATATGCTGATGGATTGGACATGACGAATGAAGGAAAACAGTTGTCAAGGATATCTCCTACACTGGGGCTTGAGCCACCAGGCCTAGAGAGAAGTTGAGCTGAAGATCCTGGATACAGTAAGCAAGCTCTGGACCATTTCTCTGGATGTGCATTATGTACCCTACCCTGTGGTAGACTCTGGGGAGATGTAGAGATAAAAAAAGATTGGCCCAGGTCCACAAGAACTTACCTTTTCATCAAGGCCTCTCTAAGGGCAAGATGGAGGAGGCCCAGTTTTTGAGGCTCCTTGTATTTAACAAAGAAATTAAAAAACCATCTTATAAACGTCATGATATATTTTTTAAACACTCATGTTTAATGCTTTTGATCTACACACTTACACTCCTGCCCCCATAGCAGCAATAACAACAAACAAAATTGGTATTCTATTCACATAATAATTGCTGGATTTATTTTTTTTTAAAGATTTTATTTATTTATTTGAGAGAGAGAATGAGAGAGAGAGAGCACATGAGAGGGGGGAGGGTCAGAGGGAGAAGCAGACTCCCTGCTGAGCAGGGAGCCCAATGCGGGAGGACTCGATCCTGGGCCTCCAGGATCATGACCTGAGCCGAAGGCAGTCGCTTAACCAACTGAGCCACCCAGGCGCCCTGGATTTATTTTTTTAAATACAAATTCACACTGCACTAAGGAAGCTGTGCTGTGGGAATGGATCCATGCTTAAATTGCTTGCTTGATAAACAACTTCTTTTAATCCTGTGACTGTATGTCTGTAATGGGATGTGGCAGCCAACCTGGGAAAGCATCAAAAATCTAAATGTGAGGTCTTCAGTGACCATGTGGATTTCCTGGCTCCTTCTTTGACAGGCTCTGCATCTACATCATTTATTTATCCTTCACATATTTATTAAGCATCTACTGTGTGCTGAGAACTATTCTAGTTTCACAGATACATCAATGAACAAGACAAACAAGGTCCCTGGTTTCAAAGAGCTGATATTCTAGGGAGGTGGGCAGAAAATAAATAAGCCAAGAAAGAAAGAAATGGCAATTTGAGAAAATGGTAAGTAAAGCAAATAAAGCAGGAAACTATGATAGAAAGAGGAGTACAATGTTCACCGGGGAGGTCTGGGAAGGTTACTCCCAGGAGGTGGTGTTTGAGCTGAGACTTGAATGATGAGAATGGACCAGCTCCACGAGGAGCTGGAAGGAGAATGTTCTTGGCGGAGATTAGGACTAGCACAAAGATCAGGGTGGGGAGGAGTTTCCCAGTTTCTGGAACAGAGGAGAAGGCCAGGCATTGGAATGTGGGGATTCAGCAGTCAGGAAGATACCAGTGATGGCCTCCAGAAGCTATTGGAACTAGCAGAAGGAAATGAACCTCAGAGCAGGGAAAGTTGACGAGCACAGGGTGTAAATGGACTGGAAGGGAGAGGTACAGGAATAAGGTCTAATCATCTAAACCTCTTGGGAGGCTGGCTTGCCGGTGTCTCTGCACCTTGCCCTGGATACTGTCCTTACCCTCTGGCATACCTTCTAGACTTAGACACTACATCCTGCTGGATAAAGGGGTAAGAACAATGAGGAAGTAAGTTAGCTACTCCAGACGGCCCAGCCCATGCCACACAGGAGTGGCTCCCCTCCTGTTTCCAGACTTTTTGGTCATATGCAAATGGCCCATGTCTAAACCAAGTTTATAATCATGATTTTTCCCCCCCAGGGATGGGGAAGAGCACAGGGCTGGGAACGTCTGTTTCCTCTCTGTTTTATTCCCGACACATCCTGGTCTCCACCCTCACCGCAGTGATGGTCTCGCCACTAATCAGAATGAATAAACTTGCACTCTGGTTCTTCCCAAGAGGAAGCTGGGAGGCCAGGGAACCTCTCAAGGACTGCCAAAGGAAGTTCTAAAGGAATTCCCTTGGCCAGTCAAAGAAGCAAAGGTGGGCCTCATCGATTGGAAGGTGGCCCGCACTAATGTGTGACTGAGCTGCAATTTTGTTTAAATGAGCAATTCGTGTTCTGCAAACATATATCCATCATACATGCTTACATTTTCTTCATCTTCATTTGTTTTACTTTTCCCTGTTATTAGTTTCTTGGACAAATGGCGTATAAAAATGGGTCACACCTTTGAAACCCTCTTTGTATCTCTCCGCAGGGGTGTAAAAATAAACCAGGTTGGCAAATCAGACCAGAGCTGAAAGGTGAGAGAACATCCAATATCTTTATTTCGTCTCTAAGAACATAGTCTTCCTCATGAGCCCCTAAACTGCTGGTTAATGAAGAGAAAATACGTGTTCATGTTTACCATTGTAAGCTCTTGTTTAATCCAGTCATTTAAATAGTTCCTTTAAGTTACTCTCAGCAAAGGATCAGTCTCAGAGCTATTGCCTGGCAGAGGACGAGTCAGGGTCCCAGGCACAGTATCCTCTGCTCCTTGGCTTTTCCAAGCAATGTCTTTTGTCCACCTGGTCACTGCCTGCCCTGCTGTCTTTGGAGGGTCTGTACTGATGCATTTTGGCTTGCTTGTGGCCTGGCAGTGTTCCCAGGGATGCCAGGCCTCTGTGAGCCCCATACTCCACTCCCAAGACCTTTCCGTGACTCTCATTTATTTGCAGTGTGGTTAGCCCACTAGGCCCCCTCAGCAAGGCCCTCACCTAGACTTTCAGCTACTTCTTGTTCCCCTCTGCACCAAGGGAGCCAGGAAAGCTAACCCCCAGGAACAGCCAGCACTAACTTAGGAGGGAATTAGAAAAAGCTGTCTCTGGTGGGAGAAGGATTTAGAAAAAGGCACCATGTTTTCCAGATGGATCAGCAGTGGTCTGCTGGAGCCTGTTCATACTGGCTCAGGAGAACAAACTGTCACATTTGAGGAATTCTGAGAGCCCAGTTGTTAAACACAAACATTATTGAAATTAAATTATATAAACTTGCAATTAAATATATGATATCAAAG